TTCAGAAGAGGTGACAAACACACCATGATCTAATGCTAAGATAAGATCAGTTTCTAAGAGAGATGTTTCACTTTATCTCTCAGAAAAGCTCCACAGACTGCACATGTGGGGAAATCACATTGGATAACCTCAGTATTCCATTTTGGCTTTGGGACATAAAGAACTTCGAGGTTTCAAAAACAGATGGAGAAAAAGGAATATTTCTGTTACTCTCAGAAAGCTTGTAGCACTATACTTCCAAGAGACAGACACTGTTAAATTAATTGATTATTAGTCAGTTAGCTTGTTCAAAGCTCAAGAAATACTTCTATCCAAGCAGAAATTACTAAATGTACTGTCTGAGGAACATGCAGGATCTCCCTTCTCCAGGTAGGTCAGAATTTACAGCTGCAAGTAGCCCATTGCACTGGCTGCCCTATAGAAAGAGCTCTCCCACACAAAACTAAGCTGGACTAAGGAGGTTTTTGACCTCTCCCTGTACTATGTTTGCACTTTTCCTGCTGGCATTAACATTTCCTATACAACAAACAGACACAGCAAAGGGAGCCTTCAGGTTTAGCAACATTTCAGTCCAGGTCTCCATGAGCAGCAGCTGAGTTAAACCTTATACACAACAAATGGTCCATCTACTCCAAAATCCTGCCTCTGCAACTGGTATTTCCTCAATAGAGCCTTAGGCTGTTTGTTAAGATTCCACAAAGTCATGGAATCTATTGATAAATCCTTCCCTGGCCACCCTCAGCAAGAGGGGGAAGCTTGTCACAAGTGATGGGGTCTGTTTCTGATCCCTCCCTCACCTTGTCACATCTCCAAGCAAGCACCCCTGGGCAGCACTCCCTAGTTCCCTTCATGCCTTTAGAGCAGAAAATGTCATTCAGCGATAATCAGTGCCCAGTATTCTCTTTTTTTACTCTCTCTCAACCTCCATCCCACTAGACCTGCCACAATACTTCAGTTTTCCTTACATCTGTTTATGATCCCTCTGCTTTCAGAGGGAGACAGCATTTAAAGTTGTTAGGGACACATTAGCTCCCATTCCTCATGAAAAAAAAAAATAACAAAGATATTCCATACAGACAAGTAAAAGCAAGCATCATGCATTTGCTCCATTCCAGTGTTTTCCTAGATTTTAGCTGATTTCAGGTGTTATCCTAAGGTGGATCCAGTCCACCTATTAAATAACCTTCACTTTAAATCTTCTCTTTTGCATCTATTACATCTCTTGGGGAAAAAAATATAAGCATATTACCTTTAGCATGAAGATCCACCTCTTGCAAAACCTGAGTCATCACTCGATACCAGAAGATACAGTGAGTTACTGTTTGCTACCCACCCTCTGCAGACCAACCAGAGTCTTGTATAACTCCATCACAACCCTCTACGTCCATCTCTTCTAGAAACTGAAGAATCCTTCCTATGAGAACTCTGTCCTCTACCTGAAGAAAAAAAAAATGCTAATAAAAGCAATTCTGACAAATATTGGCTATGATCCATGTGAAATCTTTCACTATAAATATCACTAAAACTAATTATATCAGCATGATATGGAAACAGCCTAGTGCTTGAAATATGCCTCTGGATGAGGGTGACTGTCATTCATAAGCAACAATCACTTTCACCTCAACTTCCCATTTTTCTCCTTCAATGCAGTTAGCAAACATACAGTGATTAATCTGATCCTTTACGGAAATCCAAGTGGGCTGTGTTTGACAAAGATGCCCTCACTCAATGAAACTGAAGTGTCACAGAGTAAGAAGGACAATTCAGTCACAAATTAATGACTGATGAACAGGAAATAAGCTGGAGCAATTTGCCTCTTTCCCAAAAAAAGAAGGATCACCAGTGGAGTCTCACAAGGATCTATCTCTTCTGGGATCAACACCTTCCATATTTTAAAGTAAAACCTAGTAAACAAGCTTGACACTTATGTGACAAAGTTTGCTGACAATACTTAAAAATTACTGAAGATTGTAAAAGCAATGGCCAAAGATCTGAAGAAGACTTTAATGATACTGTTTAAGTGGGCTGTAAAACAGCAGGTAAATGTAAAATGATGTATAGTATTAAAAAAAAAATATGTAGACAATGACAAATTCTGAAATAGTTATTACCACTTAAGAGTGACTGGAGTTATCATGGTTCCACAGAAGTGCCAACTCAATGCTTAAAGATTGTCTAGAAAAAGCATGCAGAATATGAAAGAATGAAACCTAATATGCCATGTAAGTTTACTGGGTGGCATATGGTGAAATACTGTGGCTGGTCCTGGTTATTGTAACCAAACCCTGTTCCTTGGATTCCTGCATCACTGCCACCAATCAGGAACACACCTGCAAAAGGTGCAAAGAAGACAGCAAGGACAATGACAGGGGTAGAGTAACTTTTTTCTGAAATGCTTCTGGAAAAGTCACAAGCAAGGGATGGTAAATAAAAGAAAAAGTCATCAACCCATAAGTCACATAGAATAACACCGATTCTCCTTTCCACTGCCTCTTCCAATACAAGAAGGAACAAGCAAGGCATGAAAGCAAGCAGGCAGAAAGTTTAAAAGCAAACAAAAATAAGTGTTTTTTTCCACACAAAATGTGTTTAAGCCTTACAACTCTGCCACAGGATGTTGTGGATGCTACAAGCATACATGGCTTCAAACACTGATTGGACAAATTCGTAGAAGAAAAAACCCACTGGGGGCTCTAAAAACAAATATCACCTCTGGTTCAGGAAACCTATGAGCCACAAATTACTGGAGGCTGGGAGAGGCATTTCCTCAATATACACTATACTCTTCTCCAAGCATCTGTTCTTGGCAGCTCGGAGAGGCAGGATACTGGGCGAGAGGGATCTTTAATGTGCCCAAGTACAGTCATTCTTACATTCTTGCGTAACACAAGTGCAAACACTAATCGTATGCACGTCGGAACTATAAGCACAGCAAAAGACCAGATTTTCAAGGGCCTTAAGGTCAGTACAGTGATTAACTGCTGCAGTCGTAGTTTGATAAAGACTTTTTTCAACACAGGAGTAGCTCAGCCTCTCCCAAACTTGTGCAAATGTATGGCAAACAAAGAGATCTGAATTTAATCCAGAATGGTTTGCTGCAGCTGTGCACACTGTTGCACTGCCACTTCTGAGGGCACCTTACAGGCTTGGGAATGACAGAGCTACTTAAATCACAAGTGGCCCCAAAGGAAATACTTGTCAAGCTACAAGCTGGATCAGTGAAAATGGAGTATCTCACTGTCTTCTGCATCTCAGAAGGCCTTTTCTACCATATGCACACTACCAATATTTAAATAAATGCTGAATTATTGGTATTAAAGACATAAATGGTTTGTCACATTTGTCCAACACACCCATTTATTTGCAGTTGTTTACCAGCAGTTGTTTACCACACTTACAAAACCTTAAATGAAGGACAAAAGGCGAGAGGGGATGAGAGGTTGTCCTTAGAAGTTTCGAGAGTACCTCACACATGGCTGAGTAGAAGCTTTCTTAAGTTTAGCTGAAAATCTCCTCCTCCATCACACCGAATACCTGCCAGCACACAAAGATCTGCTCTTACAAGTCACTTCAGGTCCTAGTCAGAGCATCCACGTTAAACACAAACTGGCACTATTTCCCATTAAAAAGCCTTGTGCATCTCAAAAACTGACACTTCTGAATTTGCAGCCTTCCCTGGTTGGCAGCATTGGGATTGTTTCAGCAAAACTGCCCAAGTGTTCAACACCTTATTCAATACACAGAATGTTCTCTGTGCACGATCTCTAAGTTTCATTCACACTACTAAGAATGGAAATCATTTCCTTCCATTTCCTTGTCAATATCATAAAACAATACCTTGAAACAGTACAACAAACACCGCTACTGCATTTGGTTTCTCTGAAAATTTGTCTATTTTACAGACAGCTGGGAAGATATCAGGTGAACTTGTCTGATTTTCGATTTTCTTTCCTGAATAAAGATTGTAGCATTCCTCAGTTGTTTCAGGAAATTACAAACATCAAAAGCAGCAGCCCCTCTTAGCAACCTGGCTTAACAAAGCACTAGAGAATAAAATAATAAAGGTTTCCTCTTCAAGGGCCCAGTCTGATAAATCCATATTCAAGAGATACTCGCTAGTCAAAGCCAAAACCCAAGGCTCCTATAATTGAAGGCAATGTAATGCAGCTTTTCCACAAAAAAAAACTAACAAATTATTTTTAAAATAGCATAAACCTGGGCAACTGCAACAATAACGTAAACTTAAAACGTCTTTTTGACAACAAACCTAGGTTTTCTCTTTGCTCCAAAAAATGACAAAACAGAGGAATGAATTACTGCATCCCAGGAATCTTCATACTTGTGATATTTTCTCTTCTCATCAAATAAACAAAAAAATAGCATTAGTTGTTACCTACATTTTTCAACCGCAAAGTGTCACCTCCCATTTTTATCTCTTGTAAAACTAGGATTACCAAACCAAAGCGTTGATGATCTCAAACTTTGGTTTAGGATCTCTTTGGTCTCTCGTCCTTGTAATCCTAAGCACCAAGTAGATCCTCTTTTTGTGGATATGAAAGACATAAAAGTGGACATACTGAACTTACACCCTCTCACATGTAACAAGCCTGCGCATTTTCAAATCCCTGCAAATGTACGGTATGCTTCCTAAATAAATAATTTCTGGAATTAAGACCTAAAAATGCTGGAAAAGGCATAATTATCATCGCGATGAGGAGGGACCTGCAGACGGTAGATGTACCAGAAGCATGTACGCTGTGGTTAGTAACAGCAGCCGGCACACAGCACACACCCGATTTCACTGCATCCTCCCTCGCCTCGCCCGGCACGCGGGCAGGCTCCCGGCACCGCGGCTCCCGCACCACTCACTCACTCACTCACTCACTCACTCACTCACTCACTCACTCACTCACTCACTCACTCACTCACTCACGCCACGCCGTCAGCACCGACACGGACACGCCACCGCTCTCACCCCTCCCTCTTCTGGGGGCATCTACCTGCGGGAGCGCACGGAGCGTGCGAGGATGCTCGGAGGCTGNGAGGGGGAGCCCAGGTCGGGCAGTCCCAGCTGGCGGCGGCCCCGCCGGGCTGAAGCTCCTGTGCGTCCGTGCCAGGGCTGCCTGACAGGAAGGAGGAGGCTGGGAAGTGTGAGATCGGGATGCGCCCTGGGGGAGTGTCACGCGGGCGTGAGGGCAGCGTTTTTGTCTCCCTCCCTGGCGATGTTCCAGAGCCGTCTGGATGCCATCCTGTGCCCCGTGCTCTGGGGCGACCCTGCTTGAGCAGGGAAGTTGGAGCAGATGGGCCACTGTGGTCCCCTCCAGCCTGACTCATTCTGTGATTCACAGAGTGGCAGAAACGTAGAATCACAGAATCGCAGTCACAGCACGGTTCAGGGAGACTCCACAATCTCTGTGGGCAATCTGAACGAGTATTGATAACCCACAGAGTTAAGTTCTTCCTCATATTCAGGTAGAACTTTCTGTGCGTCATCCTGTCCTTATCGCTGTGACCCGGGATCAGCTCAGATGTCCAGCAGAATCCAGCTTCCCTGTCAATAAATTCTTAATTGTCCCTGAAAATCTCGGGTGAGTGCAGGACCTTGCCGGTGTTTTACACGTAGACACTGGAGAAACGCCACAGATTTCCTCTAGCAGGACACGGCGGGATCCAAGCCCGCCGTGTCGGGGTGAATGGAGAACCTCTGGGCATCCCACATGCCTCCACAGGAACTTCGAGCTGCAGGAGAGTGTTCACCAGCTGTGCCCCTCCACTTCATAGGGTGTGGATTAAGATGTAGCTCATCATCATCTTAGTAGAAAAGACAAACCTTCAGAGATTCATTAGCTCAAGGAGTAATAAGAGAGTATCATTATCTCGTGTTTCATCTCAATAATTCACACCCTCTCAGCACTTTTGTCTTTGCAAATTGTTTCTTGAAGGTTTAAGTTACCAGTTTCTTCATTCATTTTTCACAAAAGCAACCTCGAAGTTTTGGGGTTTTTTCTTTGCTATTACATAGTCAGGAACCTTGCTGCTGCTGCAGAAAAATAATTCATTTTTCCTTTTTACCAAGCTGAAAAGGCTCATACATCTTCAAGCAGGAAATCTAATTGTTTAAATTTTTTATTCATTTTGTACAAAGACAACAAAAATGCACTTCCCAAAGATTTATTGAAGTAGAAGAGTGGGAGCATTTTCAAGTAATTATTAATGTTTAAATGCCTGCTGAAAACTATTTCAGGATGCTGGATTAGTCAGAGAGGTCTTTTCCCATCATAATTGTGTATGATTGGGATGGACAACCATGTGGAACTTCCCAGCTGGGAATCCTGCTCTAAATAAATGTGGATAATGCAAATTTATGGCGTCTTGGCATCCTTGTTAATGTGAGTCTATTAGGATGGCACAGTGCCTCATCATAATTTGGCTGCATCTTTGCCCTAATTTGCATAGATGCCAATTAGTTATTTGTTGGTTATGGCCTGTGGGACACCTTGCTCTGGCTCACACCTGTTCGCTTCATGTGCCAGAAAGGAATTCATGCATACAAGAAGAAAAGTCACAATGAGGATGTGGATAACATTACCCATCTAACATATTAAACAAATAAACAAGCTAGAAATAAATCTTCAGTTGTTCATTTTAGACAGAATTGCAAATAATTGCCTTCTGGTTCTGTATTTTAATTTAAAAATTTAAAATACCTTTCTCCAACTCAAAAAGCCATTTGGGAGTTAATAGGACATTTTATTTGTGAAGATACTGTGATTGGTTTGCTTCTGGCTCATTTCCTTCTCTGTTTAATCCCCGTTTAGTATTTTGGACTCAAAATGTCTTTCCAATATTTTTGAAACAAAAGAACAGTGAGGTTTCATGTTAACAAAATAGGAAAAATACTCCTCATTTTACTGTTTCTCACATATTTTTTTCCATTTAAACATGTCACTGAATATGACCTGAATCTGCAGACCAGTCTGAGTGACCTGATTTTTCTTTTCCATATGAGCTAGTTTTCTGAACTTTTTTTTTTTTTTTTCCCCAGCTTTAAATAAAAGTGAACAAATCATGAGAGGCTTGGCAGGGAAAAGGGGTACAGATGAATGAGGCAGAGCGTGGTGTGGTGCCACATCTATGCTCATGATGTTTGTCTCCAGAAATCTTCTGTCACATCAAAAAAAGAAGAGTAATTAATAAAGGCTTATAAAGGGTATGGTTCTCAGTTAATCTACATTGACTAACACAGAGCAGGGCACCACAGTCTGTGTAGCCCATGTGCTGATACTCAGCTAATGCAGTGTCTCTTTGCAGTTCCAAGTATTTCCTTTCCCTGGCTTCCAGCTTGGTTTTTTTCCATATTAAAAAGGTCTCAGCATGCTCTTCTGATTCAGAAAGTAGCTGGAATGATACTGTCAGGAAAAGTTCCCTTCCATTCTTCTCTAGCTGGCTTAAAGGGACTTTGGTAAGGCAGAACACAGTTTACGCTAACTCACTCCATGTTTTCTGGAATGACAAATTCCTCTGCAACATTTTTATGACTGCTTAGCACACTGCTACAGCAATAATTCCTGGAGCTGGAAGAGAGATATGCAGACTGAAGCTGTGAGGTTAAAACCTCTTTATTCCAAACAGAATAGAAAATGCTAAATAGTAAAAGTCATTCTGCTGAGCAAGAGAATTTCCTCTTCAAAATTAAATACTTAATCATTTGAGTCCCTATTAAATTTGACCATTTGGCAAAATCAGTGCCACACATTGCCCAGCTGATCACCTGCTTCCACTGTTTCCAAGGCAGAACTGCATCACTAATGCCACCAAACAAGTCTATCACTGCATCCTGTCATTTATCATTCCACTCACACTGTACACACAGCCTTCCCTCTCAGTATTTGTGCTCTGTACGAGATGGAGGAAATGGCTTTGGTTGTTCTGCATGTGAATCTGTCACGCACCTTCTGTTAGTGACCCAGTTCTAATGGTATTCACAGACAAGTTCTGGGCTTTACACTGGAATACTAATGTTTGGCAATTGGCAATGTGCAGTCAGGCAGGAGGAAGGCACAGGACTGCGGCATGTGGTGCTGTACCTGCACAGAATGTCAGTAATGACAAGTAATTAGCAGGCTGCACGTCATCACCATGACTCCTGCCTGTTCCCCCAGCTCCATGTGTGTGACAGCATTCTTTCTTCAAGATTCACAAAAAAAAAAGAAAAAAAAAAAACAACAACTAGAGAATATCAGTTATAAGCAAAATAAAATATACAGGTAACAAAGTCCCACAGAGCCAGCAAGATGTGCTGGGCAAGCTTTGACTGAGACTAACCCATTACTCTTTATAGAATGAAGCATCCTTTTGTTCAACAAAGTTCAAGATCCCTATCCCAGCCCTGCCAGGCTGGCAATGCATGTTGCCTGCACAGCACAGGAGTGCTTCAAGGCACAAACTAAACACTGAATTAAGGAGGATTAGGAAAAACTTTCTTACTAGCAGGTTTTTCCATTAAAATATACTATACCATATACTATTCAAGTGCATCTTCTCTGGAAACTACCACTATTAATCTGTTTTAGGGACAGACTAATGAAGTAAATCAGCAGACACTTGGATGGCAATTACTAGATCTAGATATAACAAAATTCCAGTCATAACTGGATATGATTTGCTTTCCAATAGTTATTTTCCTTCTTTGTATACCATGAAGGACATGTATCCTTGTCTGCAGTGATGCAGTATGTCAAAGTTACAGCTTTGCACTGCTCTAACCTTGTTCTAGGTATCATACTTGCATCTGATAAGGAAGTAGAAGATATAAATATGAAAACATGTAGTAGAAGTTAAAAAATATGGCTGTGAAGTATCAGGAGAGCTTACAGCAATAGCTAACAGCACTTCTTAGCTACAAAAGCTCATCAAATACATTGGAGCTTTAAACAGAGGAAGAGACCAGTGAATGTGCTGCTCTCTGTCAGCTTGGGCTTGACTGTACAGCAGTTGCCACAGTGGGGCTGCTACTCCGTGTGTGAACAGAGAACAAATTATACATGCACAAAAATACATATATTTGTGTGTATTTCTGAAAGGTTCAAGAAGAGAAACACTTTGGGAAGAGGGAGACATTGGCCAGCAGGAGTAGATTCAGTTCCTAACTGTTGTCACTCTCTCTTTGGCACCCAAAGATGAGATTTAAGAAGGGCCAAGGGGAGGATTACGCGTGGTTCTACTGTTATTTACGGAAACGCCTCCCAACCAGAAGATGATAAATACAAAACACCAGCCGTGGAAATCCAAAGGTGTGCTGTGAAGGCTGGTACTGGGATACTTCAATAGACTTAAGGTCTCTGTGTTGAAAGAGAACAGTCAAAGAGGGCCTAGATAACTGAGAAAGGATTTGGAAGCAAAAATAAGTCTTGGTTTATACAACAGAGAGTACAGCCATTTGAGGGGTGCAGACAGAGAGATGGCAATGTAAACAAAGGTACTGAGCAAGAAATCACCTGTTTGATGAGTGTTGTGGTCAAGTTTCTAACCACAGAATCATCACAGGACAATGAGTCAAGCTATCTAGGACTAATATGGCATGTATGGGAATCATTCATCAGAGGAAACGCAGGCTTCAACTGTGTCCTCCTTAACATTCATCCCTGCAGTGATGCCAACAGGAAAAGCTCACCAGTGACTAATCTGGTGGTTTCCAGTCACTGCCTTCTTATATGTTGACCAGCATGACCTCACTGTTACCTTGTGCTTGCATTATTTGTTTTCTCAATAGACCTGTCAGCTCATCATTTTGATTACAAGGTGTTCAACATAACAAGTTAAAAAAACCTACACAGAATGTCAACACAGTGAGCACAGAGGCTGGCAGTTCTGACTGAAAGCACTTCCAGTTCTACCCTCACGTGTGTCTCTCTCAGGGTGATACCACCCTTTTCAGCAACAAAACTCTTCTTCAGCTGTGCTACAAACTGAAACTGATTCACACAGAAATACGGGAGGCAAGGGGAGCACTAGAATTCTTCTTGTTGTATCACT